TAAACAAAAACCTATCAATTAAGAAAAGCCCAAGACCCCATGGATTCACTGTTGAATTATCTCCATTGTGATCTCTCATGTAGTAATCTTATGCACTCACTCTCTGACAACTCCCCTGAAGCCACTGCCATCACTCTACCTAAATGCCCTTTATTCCGCTCAGTGACACAACATCTCATTGCAGGGCACCTACCAAAACCCTCTGAACATGGAAGCTTCCTTAGCCTGAGATCCCAACTGTGAAGCCCTGCCCCCTTGTTTGTTGCACCTAATGGACTTTGCTCTGAATTATTCAGGGAGAAAGGAAGGAATAAAGGATATTTCAGAGTATTTACGTTCAGGTGGATGTGTCTCCTTTGATGATAAAAAGTGGCTTATAAAAAAGAATAAACCACAACTTCTCTTTGACTTCACTATACACCGAGGAACTGGTCTAAACTGGGCATATGGGTAATAAGAGATTTAAAAGAATGAGATATTCTATCATAAGAATAATGTCTAAATAAATCACGAAAAGTACATCCTATACTTTTTTCTATTGAAATGTCAATTGTCCTATTAGAAATAAAATTCCCCAGAGAGAAACCCATAGAAATGAGAACTGAGGACTGCCCTCTCAATGTAGTCTATTTCACTTTCTGTTTAAGAAAAGGCTGATTTTTCAGGCTTTATTTGACTTGCTTACCACAGTGCATCTCTTGGGAAGCCATATTATTTATTGACTGGTCACACACCGGTGACTGCTAGTGCAGTTCATTAATAATGTTTACATGCTCACTTGTCTTTTTCTCTCTGAGATGTCTGCTGGTTTGCTATAAAAGTGTATCCCACTTAACAAAACAATTAAAGATTTTCTTAAAGACTGTGCAAATGACTAGTATTAGAAATCTGAATTTTACTTTTAGGGTTATTAAGTTGCTTGATATTTAAAGGAATATTGAATTAATCTTAGCAAAGGGCTACAGTTGTTTTTTTTTACAAATAATTATAGGCACCTGGACATTCAGATTTTCATTACTTGACAATTCTTTTTATCAAGTACCTATTATATATTCAGCACTGAATAGGAGGCTAAGTGGGAATTATTATTTCATGGCAGTGGTAATGGTTGGGATATTTCAGAATTACTATATGCCAATAATTAGACTACCCTTAGAGTCTCATTTAGTTTTTACAGGTCCAATCAGAGAAACTATTCTTGTTCAGGCTGATGGATGAACAGACTGACATGCTTAGAGATTGTAGAAACACTTTCTCTTGGTGATACAACTGTATGGAAAATTCCTGCCATTTGTTCATTCATTCATTCATCTATCCATCCATCCACCCATTCACTTATTCACTGAACAGAACTTTTCAAGAACTTTCAATGTGGTGGCACCATGAAGAGCTCTAGGGACAAAATGACAGACCAAGTAGAGGTCCTATCTTTATAAAGCTTCAAGCTCTACAGAGCCTCTCTCAACAGAAACCTACTATTACAACCAAGTGTGAAGCTTGGGTGGCTGATAAGGACTAGGAGAGGAGAGGGATGGGGGAAAATGAGTAACAGAAATCAAAACACAGGGCTGGAGAGATAGCTCAGTGGTTAAGTGCCTGCCCAGAAATCAAAACACAGTGAGATAGAAGTACTGGGTTCAACAGTTCTACAAGCACACTGGGGTGACTAGTGATCATGACATATTGTATAATTTTACACATAACTAAAAGAAGAGTTCAAAGGCTCCAACCACAAAGTAATTGTGTGTGGAAATGAAAAAGGTACTCTGAATTTATCAATAACTACTGTATACATATGCTGAAATCTCATGCTGTGTTGCATACATATGTGTGGCCATTACATGTCAATAATTTTTTAAATGTTTGAGAAGAAATTAACTGTCTTGATTTAATCATTACACACTGTACATGTGTGTCAATTTATCACACTGTATCCCATAAATTTGTATAACACAAACACAAAAATATATAAAGACATGAATAATAATTTTTTTATAAAGTTAATTCTGCATCAGCATAGAGGACTACGAAGAAAGTCCTCCCTGAGGTGAAGAGAAGCCACAAAATGGAACCACGAATGAGGAAGGGGCAGGACCAGATGTATTTTTCAAAAGGGTGCCTCTGAGCAAGTGTGGAGCAAGGCTGGAAGAGACTGGACAGAACTTGAGCCTGGCAGTTCACAAAAGCCAGCTGCAGGAGTCCAGCAAGAGATGACAGGTGGGACTGAGACAGGAGCAGTAACATGGCATCTGGGGACTCTACAAGAGAGGTGCTGGGAGTGGCCATATCTGTGGGAGGTGAAGACAAGCAAAGACAATTCTGACAGAAGCAAGGTGTACAAGCAGGTGACTCTGCTGGGACAGGGAATCCTGGATCTGCAACAGATTTCTGGGGACCCACAGGTGGAGCTCCACCTTGGAAACTGTGAATGCGAGAGGACCATCAGCATTAAGATCTTAAGCATCTCACCAAGAGCTCATAGTCAACTGTATGAGGTAAGAAATTATTATTTTTTTAAATCCTAGCAGTAGCCTTCTCTGAAAATTTGATTTATATATTAAATGTTAGCACTGAACTTTAATTAAGTATTTCAGTTTGTACTTCACCAGAGTTTGCTTGTTCTCCTCAAGAAGTTTCACTACTCATGTATATCCTCTGGTTCTAATTCACACAGAAACCTACCAATCCTTTAGGTGAACTGAATCTATGTCTTCTTACCATGGAAGATAGAAACAGCATCAACTTATAGGTAAATGACAGCAATTTGGGGTTAGACACTAAGAATAGACACTGGATAGACAACTGACTCTTTGGTGATGGAAAATCAAAATATCTAAAATGTCTAAAACCTAAACTCTTATTTTGTTAGCTATCCAACTTGAGATTTTACAAAGATTCCATACATCGGGACACCTTGGTCCAGGATGCAGATTGGTATAGTACTTTCATTGCATGTGTGGGGCTTTGGATTCTAGCCTTAGAAACATACATAGATACACAGACACACACACACACACACACACACACACACACACACACAGACAAATAGAAGACAGAGAGAGAATCTCATGCACCTTATATGCTATCTAAGTACACGTTTTTAATCTTATTTTGGAAGATATCTGTAAAAGTCATATTTCTGAAAGCTACTATTATAGAACATTTTTCTTTTTCTTTAATGGCAGGAAAAACTGTTTACTTATACGTGTCTTAGCAATTTCTAATCTCAACTATGTTTATTGCAGACATTTTCTAAAGCAAGGGAATTATGAGCTCTTAAATTATCAAGTTTTGTCTGAGAGTAGAGACAAATTATTTTCAGGAGAGAATAATGGTTCTGCATGTGTAACAGTGAAATATGTTCTACTGTTCTTAGTGTTCATCTTAATTTCAAGCCCAAGTCTTTGTTAGCACCAATGACTGCCAGATTGTTCAAGCATATGGTTCTGAACTCAATGAGCAACACAGACTGGCTGCACTGCAGTTATGAATCAGGTACTCACTGTTACTGCTGCTCTGTAGTTTGTAAATATCAGGTTAGAAAAACAACATACAATACAACACATGTTTGAGGGTCATGCCATTTATCCAGGGCTCACATGCTCTGAAATTCATCCCTAAGCTAAGCCAGAACACTAGAGAGCTGTACACTCGGATGTGAAAACAATTTATAAAGTGAATTTATTAACTTCCCTGGGCTTCAAGTTCCAAAATGCAAAAAGAAGTTAGTGGACGCAATTTAATCTCAATTAAATGCAACATCTCAAACACTGAGTCTACAAGACAAAGAAGGAGCCTTAACTCTCTGTCCACCCATATTTCTAAGTATTTTTATATAAAGGCTAAATATACAGTGATAATAATAATAATTCTATGTGATAAATATTAAAGTAGAGAAATGTACAGAGTTAGGAATATGAGGGGGCCACTTCTCCAACTTCAGGTGCAGAAGGGCAGGTGAAGAATGCCTGAAGGATTCCAAGAAGTGTTGGAATGCTGTCACTCTCACAGGGTTAGTGTGTAGGTGACATTAAACAGGAGAAAGTACAGGAGATACCCTCACCAGAGTTTGTCAGCTTAGACACAGTGCAACTGTGTCAGCTCTGGTATCCCCACTTATCACACAGAAACCCCAAATTGGCTTAGTAAATATGGGTACTTATTATCTCACATAACAAAATGTCAGGCAAAGGCCAGGCACCAAAGTCAACTGATTCAAGGACTCAACTATATCACTAAAGATCCCTATTTTCTCCCCTTTCATTTCTGCCTTTCTCAGAGTTGGCTTTCCCCGCAGGACAGGGCAGCTTAGTCACAAGTTGACCGCAGCATGTTCTGGCATAGCAGTAAGACAAGATACTCAAGCAAGGAACATATCTTTCTCTGTGTCCCATCCTTGACAAGAAGGAAGTATCACTGGATGAGCCTTGAAGGTTTCCCCTCAAGTTCAAAATCTTGGCTTTGAAGGACTGGCAAGATAGCTCAGCAGACTAAGCACCTACTTAGGCAAGCACAGGGACTGGGGTTCAATCCCCAACACCACAGGCCATGCTGGCCCCACCCCTAGGGGAAATGAGCCAGCCACAGAGACTAGATGGGGTGTGATGATGCACACCTACATCCAGTGCTGGGGAGGCTGAAAACAGGAGGATCACTACAGGTCTGAGCTGTGCAGTGAGACCCTGTACCAAATACATTTAAAAAAATCTTGGCTTTGCACATGGACTCATTCATAAATCAATTGGCTGCAGGCACCAAGGAACCATCACTACCACAGGCTTACGCATTTGGGTTGTTGTCTGTTTTGGGCACAAGCAGACTGATCTGAAAGCTTAGCAACTCTTGTCCACCAAAGTATCTCTGTATCTTTTTATTTCAGTAAGACTATAGTTTTTCCCTATTCTTAATGCACAAAAAAGCAGTGCTGTTGGAAAATGATCAAGTTGTCTCATCTTAACTCACTAAGCAGCTCAAAGTCATACACTTTAAACAAAACTTACCAAAATCAACTAGCTTGACTCCACCCTCAGTGGTCAATAGAATGTTATTTCCTTTTACATCCCGGTGGATAGTTTTGTTGTTATGCAAATGTTGAAGGCCCTTGAAGGTGGAGAAATACAAGGATTACTGAAAATTATGGTGAATGTTTACATTTAGAAACTTATTGTAGTAAAAGACACATTACCATTAACCACCCCTTCAAAATACTCTCCCTCTTCATACACATTTATCTCCTGGGCCCTGCCATTTTCTGAAGCAATTCTGGAAGTCTTGCTTTGAGAGTGACTTAATAAGGTATCACCAAAAGTACTGCTGTCCAGTGCCATCCAATAGGAGGCCGGGTGCATAAAAATGTGGTGCCTCAGCCACCTCATTGAGCAGATCTGGCACTGTGCAACTTCAGGTTCTTCCCCAAAGTCAAAAATAAAACACTATGTGCCAACTTAGGATATCAAGACAGCTGGGACAGTGGCTAAGACACACCGAGGAATTCGAGTACTGTTATAGAAAATTGCAAGGAAATAGGATAAATGTAGAGCTAACCCACTCAGGTCTCCTTTCTGTTCCTCTCTTCGATAGAAGCTTTCTTTCCCCCCAATAAATGTTCTCTTTAAAAAAAAAAAGCAGGATAAAAGTGTTTGAAGTGATAGAGAACAGTTTGAGGATATTTAATGACAATGTATCTTTTACTATAATAAACATATAAATTTAAACACTATTTTCTGATTATACAGAACCTTATATATTATGACTTTTAAAACAGCATCACTAAAAACATGCTTCAGATGATGCACTTGTGCAAAATCAATAGAAAATACATGCTGAAAATTAATAGAAGAGTCCCAAATGTTTCACACTGAGTTATTAGTCAAATTACGGTATATCATTTCTATTTTGTAATACAGAACATAAAAATTCACAAAATCAAAGCATGAACCTAACCTTTATCAGCTATCTTATTAAGTGTGTGAACCCCAATAGAAGAAAACATTCTACTTATCAGGAAAATAGCAAATAACCTGATTATCAGTAAAAATAAATTTATTTATTTGTCAGTGTCACAATCTGAGAAAAACATTTAGGGAACTAGATTTAGGATACTGTTGACACAAGAAAAGTAGATTTCTTAAAGAAAAATGTAATTTAGCTCTGCTAAACATTTCAGACTGACTATATTGTTGCAACAGTAATTATTACCACTGTGATATTTTTCTAAAAATAGGACCCATATTTATTTAATGGGACCTGCTCATAATTAACACACAGATGATTTTAATTGCCTTACCATTAGCGCTTCATGTAAAATATAGGCGATGGTGGGCTCCCTCATTCTTTCTCCCCTCTTTAGAAAGCCTTTCACAAGGTCAGTCACTGCTCCTCCATTACACAGCTAGAAAAGATTGCAAGATGGACACTGAAATGGATACGACACCTCCTGCTCTTTCAGTAAAAGGTTTCCTATAACATTTCTAAATGTTGTGATTTTCTAAGTGATTGCTCTGATCTGTACAGCTTCATACGTGAAATGAGTATGCAAACTCATGTACAGCTGGCTACTGGAGCAATCTTCCTACAAATTCATGTCTCAGAAGGCAATCTGAAGAAGCACCAGGCTTCATTTTAAAAGTTAAGAATAAGAATTATGATTCTACAAATTATTCCTAAATTTTAGCATCTAAGGTTTAAGAGTAGTAAAGATTTCTGATAGTTCAATTAATAGTGCAATAGATCTTATGGGGCCAAAATACAGCTTTACACTTATGTGTGCTAATCTTTAAAATGCCTCCTTTCTGGCAAAATTCCAAAGCATGTTGAAGAGTTACAAATAATGTTTTAGGAAACTATTTAAGCTGTCTTATTTCCTATGCTTGTTGGCGTTTTCCCTCCTTAACTACCAAAAGCCTGAAAAATCTAAATAGAAAATAAGAGGAATAAACATGATAGAGAAATTGCTCACACGCAGGCTCTTTAAGGTTAGGGTACAGTAAATCTCAGAACACTTGCAAAAGAGGTATGTTGCTTATAAAACAGATCAACATTGGGACCTCAAGGAATGAATGGCTCTGGACCAAGAGAAGCTCTGAGGATGCTTTGATCCCACGAGTCCTGGGTTTCCTAACGCCTAGCCCTTGACCCTTTTCCTTTGGCTTGCTGCCCTTCCAGGCTCCTCAGTGTGGTCTCCCCTTCCCTCGTATGGCCTTTTAGATCTCTGTCCCACAGTGCCCGGGAATTTAAAGAAACACACAGTTTTCCTGACTTTCTTCTATCTCAAGTGCAGGAAAAGAGCTGATGGCAAGTATATTTTTAGCATTGCTGTTTGAAATGTTGAAGAAATTTTCCCAAAATCTTTTTCTAATATAGCAATTAAATATTACTGTATGCCTGAAAGCTGTTGGTGTGTAAGTAATAGCTAAGATGCACCAAACACCAGCGGTGCCAGGTACATTTCTAATCTATTTACATGAAGTATTTCCACATCACAGTTATTCTCTCTGATCTAGACATGATTATTGCCAGGTGGAGAGAATGAACCACATTCATAATTGGCGGTTTTCTCTATTCAGAAAAAAACTTCTCTTAGCTAACACAGGAATATGGGCAATCTGGATTTTCAATACCTGCGTTTTGCTCTGTGTAGGAACAGCCTTTTAGATGGATAAATGAAAGAGTGTGACTGCCCTGGTTGCTGAACACAGGGTCAGTCTGCCTCCTTGGTAATCAGTTCACAAAATTACAACTACTGGATTAAAAAAACAGAGTCATTAAAAATTGTAAGTCACTTACTTGGAGGGGCCCAAGATTTAGAGCTAGTTTAAAAATTCCTAAAAATCACTGAAAGATATATTTTGTTTTCTACTGTTCCAAAGTGTAGCCTCTCTTTAGCTGTACCTTCTGCAGCTATTGGGAGAGAAAAGTCAAAGTTGTTAGAATCAAAATGGAGTCACTTATGTCCATTAAATAGAAATTAATTAAATACTTTAGGAGATTATGAAGAAAAGGTTCTTAATGCATACCTGCCTGATGGTGACTATCACAAAATACCCTGCCAGTCATGCTCTACCACGCATAGCTTGGGAGCTGTTCTTTTTGTGTTCTGGATAGATGACTCCTATGAGCCACGTACTTTCTAAATGTTTTCTTCTAGTCTGTGATTTGCCTTGTAAACATCTTCTAAAGAGCAGAAGTTTTAAATCTACATTTAAAAATAGTTTATGGGATGTACTTTTTCTGTCATATCTAAGAAAACTTTGTTTAATCCAAGGTCATAAAAACTTTTATAATTTATTTGGGACATTCTGTACTTTTTGGTTTTACACAAAAGTAAATGTTTGATTCATTCTGACTTAATTTTTTATATGGTATGAGGATGGCTTATATTTAGATGTTCAATTACTTTTGCACACTTCCGTATTAGTCAAAAGTATCCAAGAAACCAAAAATACACCTCAGTTGAGTTTAAAATCCACTGTCAGCATTATGTGTGGGAGAAGCCTTAATGCTAAGTGAAAGAAGGCCATCTGAAAAGGCTACATCCTCCACGGTGCCAATACATCATGTCTGGAACTGAAGAGACTGGAGACAACAGAAAGGATCAGTGGTTTCCGGGAACTCAGAGAAATGAAAAAGCAGAGCAAAGATTTTTATGCCACTGAAATTAGTCTATATGATAATATAATGGTGGACACAAGTCAGTATACACTTGTCAGAATCCTCAAAGTGTACATTTAAAGAGAGCACCTAAACTTAAACTGCGGACACCAGTTAATGTTAATGTATCATCACTGGCTCACACATTACAGCAAATATGCCTGGCTAATTGAGATGTTAGTATTAAGAGAAATGAAGAGGTGAAAGAGTTCATTGGAATGCTCTGTACTTTGTTTCTTTTTTGAGAAACCTAATGCTGCTCAAAAAATTAGATCTATTCATTTTCTTTAAAAGAAAACCCTACTAGTTGCTAACTCCAAGAATATACAAAAAGTACCTAAAATAATGAAGGTACATGAAAAATCAATCCAAGCTCAATACATATAAAGCAACCTTAGAGTACCTTCTCAGAAACTAAATTATTTATTCATAGTTGATTTTTTAATTAATTTTATTGAGAAACAAACAGCAATGAGACAGTTTCAAAACAGGTTAGTAGGACAGTTACAATAATTAATACATTGCATATTGTTGTTTTCATAGTAGTTATTCATAGTACAAGATGTAGACATGGTATCCTGTCCAAACGCTATTAGTACAAATCTTTCTTCTCACCGAATTAAGAGAAAGTAGCTGTATATCTATCCTATTTTGTATACACAGATACAAAATGGTCCTTTGTTTATATCCCCTTTTATTGTTTTGCTTTGTCAGAGTTGGGTATTGCATCATCATTTAAATATTGTAGGTGCATGAATTCAGCAAAATATTCTAATATAGTCCAGTAGTCCATAATAGTAGTGATTTATCCATAGGACTGGCAATGCCAGAAGTTGTTGACTTGAGCCTTTTACAGCTCAGCGTATTAATAAGGTTTTACTTTTTATACTTCGTTTTTATACTTTTCTGCTGGATGGTTAAAACGCAGTTTAAATTTAAAATAAGTTTTGACAGAGGTGAATTACTAACCCAGAGAAATTCTTGATATGATACATATATATAGTCTTTATAAAATTTTACAATAGTATTCAGTGAAAATTTCATATTTAGAAAAATCATGATTTTTTTTACAATCAAAATACTTATTGGCTTGTTAGCATATGCAAAGCACTAAGATGGATGTTAAAGTAGATCAGCGATGGTGAGGACACCTGCCACTTCTAAGGAGGATGAAAACCCAATTAGAACAGTGGTTTTCAACCAGAAGAGGTTTTGCTCTCAAAGATACTGCATACATCAGGGTTGGGAAGCTGCTGCTGCCATCTGGAAGCCAGGGAAGCTGCTGACATCCAAAACAAGCAGGAGGTCAGCCACGCCAGCATGTCAACATGGTGAGGTAAATAAAGAACTCTCAGTAGAGGGATAAGGAGCAATTACCTAGATTGTATGCTAGGTCTACAATCATGGTTATATGGATAAGAGACTTACATGCCAAGTACTGTAGAATTTCACAGTGATATTGTTAATACTGAGTTGGAAAGAAAAAGAAATGATATTAAGGAGAAGGAATCTGTTGTCATATATGTTCATGCTGCTTTTCTTCAGGTATTTTTTTGTTTTTTGCATAGTTACTTTGGTTTTGATGTCTTCTGGGATACAGAACTATATTTTGGCAGGAAGAGGGTAGATGATTCATTTGCCAATTTTTTCTTTGTATTCATTGATCTTTGTTTTTTGGGAGTAACATTCAGAAGAAAGGCTTTTCTCCACACAGACAATATTTTGTGACCTCAGTAAGTAGTTAAATTATTTCCAATGACTTAAACTCAGTAATGTTTCATAAACAAATATGGAGGGCCAACAAGATAGCTCAGAGGACTAAGCACCTGCTTTGACAAGCTCAGGAATCAGGGCTCAATCCCCGGTCTCACATGCCATGCCAGCCCCACCCTCGTGGTGCACTGAGCCAGAGACTTAGTCTGGGAGTGGTGGCACATGCCTGTAATCCCAGAGCTGGGGAGGCTGAAACAGGATTACTACGAGTCTGAGCCGTGTAGTAAGACCCTGTGCCAAACACATAAAAAATGAAAATAAATATAAACAAATACATATTTTAGAACACTAACAGAAAGCATTTTAATAGTTAAAAAAGAAAAGAATGTTATTTATTCTAGTAAAGGCCAACACTGCTAATAGTGAGGGAGCCTTGAGTTGGTTTGTGGACAAGAGCTGAAACTTCACAATTGATTGTACTGACTGCATGCTAAAATGCAGCTTTCAGGAATGGTGAGATGTAGTTGCTCTAGTCACAAACATCAATTAGAGTCACAGTAGGGTGCGAAGTTAGAGCAATGAATACTAAGTCTCTAAATCTGTGCAAAGTCAGCAAAAAAGAAAAACAGATTTCATTATCGGCTATTTCATAAATCTAAGTAAACAACATGAGAAAAAATACAGTCACAAATTTCCTGGGAGGAAAGTGGTAGACAAGTGGCCATAATAATAGCCTGCATGGACCAAAAATACAAATCAGTATTATCTTCTTGCCGAAGAGCTACACATACAAAGCTATCCGAAAATCCAAAAATTGTAAGCAAATAAACAATCTCACCCTATGAAATTTAAATTCTGTTGCTTCAATTTAACATGAAAAATTCAGTTAAAAACTGAGTTGTCTAAGCATTTCAGTTAAGATAGTACTTGCTATTAAACAATAAAGTACAAGGTTAGGAACCACCCCCAAAAATAAGTCAAAAGGAATAACGTTCGATAAGCAAAAGGAATAATGTTCCATAAGCTAAT